TTGGGGACTGGGTGTTTACCACACAGCAGCGGATTTCATAAATTCCAGGGCTGGACATATTCCTAAGTGGCGGCACACTCAGCTATAATGAGAAGATGCAGGATTAGATAATCAACAGCGACGAGGAAATCAGCCAAGTTGCCACCCAGAAATTGTTTACCAGAGCAGCTGCCATCCAGAAATGCGAACAAGCCACTCTCCCTAGGAGGGGGCCATACTCAGCTGTGGCCCACTCACAGTGTCTCCTCACTTTACTTTGCTCCAGGGTCAGGAGTTGGCTATCTGTATGCAATGGTTTCTCCTTCCTTTCTTTGTAAGTTCAAAACTGTCTTCCCCAAAACGGAACCTACAGTTACTATTAGCTACTAAAAGGGGGCAGTGGTACCTAATCAGGTAGGTACATGCCGCAGGAGTTAGCATAACACAGTGTGACACAGACTACGGTATATGTTTTTCTGTGCTGAGGTAAGCAGCCTGTGTATGTGTGTGTGTGTGTGTGTGTGTGTGTGTGTGTGTGTGTTTGTTTGTTTACAGGCATTGACGCTTCAAGGATAGTTTAAACACTCAACAGAAAAGTAGCCAGTCTCATACAGCCAATTTGTATGTATAATTTAATACTATTTTATTAGTCCTATATTAGTGGCTAGCATGAGTCTTAAGATTATTTCTGAGTTCTCTGAACATTGAAAGAGAGAAACCTCTAACTCCCTTTTTATTCACTTGCTTTGAGGTTTGTACTTCTAGGTATTTATATAACTCTCAAACTCTTACCATTTCTCTTACAAATACAGTAAAACCTTGGATTGCGAGTAACTTGGTTTGCGAGTGTTCCACAAGACGAGCAAACATTTCTAATACATTTTAACTTGGCAAATGAGCGATGTCTTGCAATACGAGTAGTTTATTTCCAGAACGAATTATGCTTGCAAGCCAAGGTATTACTGTAACTAAAATCCTTGAAGCTTCCTTTATAATTAAGAATTGTATCTATTTTAGCCACTCCCTCAACAAACTACATAAATGAGGACTTGCTTCTTGGGAAGACAGAACCTTCTTTCCAGTCTTTTTCTCCTAAAGTTTCCCATATTTCCCTTCCCTGCTGTCATCATGGCAAAAAGTGTGATTGTCTCTCCTTATGACAGTAATTTTTCACTCCTAAGTACAAATATCTGAACAAAACCTGCAGTAGCAAAACATACGTAAAATGATCAAATAGTTACTATTCACAGCAGGCTTACATTATGTTTCACAAACGCTGGTGTTAGTTAAGAGAATCACGCATACGGCACCCAAATTGTTGCAGATTCTAACTCTGCTGGGTGTGAGTTAATGTTTTTACTATATGTAAAGAAGTCTCCTTCCGACACTAAGGAAACATGAGCTAAGTAAGTTTGGTCACAGGACGGGGCTCTAAATTCCCATCTGATTCACTTGACTTCCCAATTGTCACCCTGGATGTCTCTTCACCAACAAGGCTGTTATTTAATTGTCCTAGTCTTGTGGCATCATGATATGACTAAAAAGGATGAACGTAAGACACTGCCGGGACCCCAAGTATCCCATGATGCCATCTTGATTACTTTGAATTAAAGTTACTTAAAAAGTAGCTGGCTGATTGGACCTGCCTTGTCTCACTAAATGCAGGAAATAAACCTCCCCGCACCTGGAAGACACCCTTTATCAATAGAATTCAACAACTCAAAGCTGAAAGAGTCTGTATAAACAAATCTTGTTGTCTCTTTTCTAATGCACTACTTTGTTTTTTTGTTTTTTTTTTAGCTGAGCCATCCTGCTACCTATTGGCAGCTTAGCGGCTGCTCAGCTCGGGCTGGCCTCGAACCGCTGTTGCTCAGAGCTCAAACTCTTGAGCGAGCTCTTAACCAACTGAGCCATTCGGCCGGCCCTCAGAGCTCAAACTCTTGAGCGAGCTCTTAACCAACTGAGCCATTCGGCCGGCCCTCTCTAATGCACTACTTTGTTTAAACTCCTCATTAATAAAGACATAGACCTTGCTTAGATTCCTTTCTAATAAGTACCCACTTTCTTTGGCCTGTCAATTTCTCACAAAGGCATTGTTTCTTTGTCTTAAAGTATGAAAAGGTGTCTGTCTGGTTCGATCATTTCTTTGAGCCTCGTTATGATCTGAGCATCATATTGTGATTCTCTCATACACATGTATTAAATTGGCTTTTCTCCTGTGAATCTAGTCTTGTGTTGATTTTATTATTTTATTATTCGTCTAGCCATTAAGAACTAAAGAAGCAGGGTGTGGTGGGGATTCTCGTGCTCCTGACAACACATTCATGGGAGTATCTGAGGATGAGATTAAAAGAGTCGAACCTCTTCCTCATTTTTAAATATCATAATAACTATCAGTACTAATGGGCATAGAACTACTACCCCCTCATATACGTATGAAGCTATGAAGTTTAACAAAGCACTTTGATATGTCTTCTTATTTAATCTTTATGGCTGCTATTGATTCATAAACCTCAACAAATAATTTTCAGTTCCGATGGTGTATGTATTATTCTTTTTTTTTTTAAGATTTTATTGGGGAATTGGGGGAAGGGGAACAGACAAGTTGCTGTCCTTTTGTTCTTCAGTCTAGTTGTGGAGGACGTTGCTTCACTGGCCCAAATTGGCACCATCATTGCGCTCTTCCCGGCCGAGGCAGATCAGTCGCCGGCTTCTGGATGGCCGCTCACGCTGGCTGCTGGCTACACACGGTAGCCCATGGCAACCCACTGCAGCAGGGGCGGCAGCTCACGGCAGCCCAGCTCCAGGTTGAGCTGTTGTTCAGCATCTTAGCTGTGGAGGGCAGTGTCACTGGCCCTCATATGTGGGATCCGAACCAGGGCCCTCTGGCGTCCCAAGCCAGTTCTTATGTATTATTCTTGATGCCCATTCTACAGGGACTGAAACAAGCTCAGAGAGGTGAATTTACTTGCCGAGGTCCCCTGGTTGTCCAGAGCTCCGATGTGGTGGTTTTATAATCCCGTGTCTTTCCATCAAAACAAAACTGCCCTGATTTCTATCAGTCCCTCATCACTACCTGGTGCGATAAATTAATTTCAACTATGGTATTAATGACAAATAATGGATTTTTGTGTTCTGCTTCTTGAAATAAGAGCATCTGAACTGAAGCCTTGAGTGGTTCCCGAATCACAGCCAAATGGGATGAGTAAGGCGACAGGCGGACTGAACGAAGACTTGGTGAGAAGGGAAAGGAAGGCATACAGTGGTCGAGATCCCTCAAATCGCGTGGCGCCGAGAGCTGTCTGATTATCCTGCACTTACCACTAGGAAGATATAGGGCTATGTCTACTTCCTCTCTGGGACTATTAGCAATATTGGTCTAATAATAAAAAGGTTGTCACCTCTGTACATGACAGTGTCCTGTGGCCATTGTCCCCCCCTCCCCGCAGCCCCTATTCTCTTCTTAACCACACTTCAGGACAGCAATGCTACCCTCTTACAGCCTTCCTAAAGTTTTACCTGGAGACTGTCCCCTTACCAACTACAGAGCAGACCATGAGACCAATGATTCAAGCTAAAAAATTCCTTTTCCTCAAATTATCTAATTGTCCCTTCCTTTTGCCTTTTTCTGGGGACAGTTAATGGGAAAAGGTCCTCCCTCAGCACAGCGAACGAATTCATTCCCTATTTCTACCCTGAGGCAAATGCCACTACTCAACCCCCTACCCTCACCAACTCGCTCATGATCACCAACCCTCACCTGGCAATATCCTCCTTAACCCCTTTGAGGCAGCCCCATTGAGGCACATCACTATTTAGCCACACAAAAGATGAAAGGGGAGTCTGGACCAATTTCAGGAAAATCCAGGTTAAAACATGGAAATCCAGGAAAGATGTAAAATAGGGCTAAGACCGCGCCCCCCCCCCCAATTTAGCTGTCCACATTAGTTGAATTTACCAAATAATCCTTTGGGGGTTTCATAGACACCAGTTACTCCTCTGACCCAAGATATTATCCGGCAGCCTGTAATGCTTCCCAGCCTTCTTCGCCACAGGGCAGGGCGCACACAGGGAATGACAACATTTGTACAGTCTTTTGGTATAAACTGCTGGAGAGTTAGACTCTGATAAAGTCAGAGGCGATCAGCTCCAGGTCACTCAGGTCACTTCAGCTCTTGCCCAGACACTAGGAGGACTGAGGAAACCAACACTGTGGTAACTAGTGAGGGCGCTTAATCCTTGTAACCTATAGAACCTGATGTCCTTTCCCAAGATGCTGTCTCATCTCACCCCTCAACTCAGCCAATCCCTTCCATCTTTCTTCCCCACCCCAGCCGCTCAGCCCTGGATCACAACAGCCCTCTCTTTCAGGGAAGCCACATTCCCCTCCTCTGCCAGCTCCTACTCAACAGGTACCCTTTTCTTCATTCTAAGGTGAATATTCCTAAGACTGAAAATGCCTATGATCCTGTCTTGCAAGCTCATTTGCATAATCATCTTCCAAAACAAACATGAATTTTTCAAGGAACAGAAATATCCTCAGCCGCTGCCCTGTTCTCCACAGCATCGTCCGGTGCCCCCATTGAGCCAGCGCTCCAAGGGGCCTTTCTCCGGCTGGGATTTGTGACCTGGACACTACTTGCTCCAGAGTCACCTCTGAGGCCGGTTTTAAAATGCAAATGTCCAAGCTCCCCCTCCCGTCCCTAAATCAGAATCGCTGGGGGTAAGGGGCAGAATCTGCATTTTAAACCAGCTCCTAAAGCGATTCTGCAGTTCCACACCGGACTTAGAGCTGTGACTGCAGCCAGCTCCCTCTCTGCCGAGACGGGAAGTAGAAAGCCGGCACGAGAGAGGTGCACCGGGCTTGTCTGAGGTCCCACGGCATTTGAGGTGAGCGGACCGGCCCGGAGCCCACCGCCCTGGCTCATCAACCCAGCACGAGCTGGGAGGAGCCAGGACTGTCGCAGGGCCGCCCCCCCAACCCACCCCCCCAAGTCCCTGCCCTCGCCCCCGGCACTCACTCGCTTGTAGATGTCCTCCCGGCTGGCCTCATACTTCTCCTGCATACGCTCCTCCAGGAAGTAGATGCGCAGCTTGAGGCTGAAGTTCTCCTTCTTCAGGTCATTGAGGTGCTGGGACAGAGTGCGGTATCCATTAGACATGGTGGGCAACCCATGGGGAGGAGCATGCCCAGTCACTCCTTCACCCCAGGAACGCGGTACCCCTGCACCGCGGCATGAAGCGAGCGGCTGGGAACGCTGCTGAGGCTACGGCGACATGGCCCTGGTGGCTGGCGCTCTCTCGGGGACTTGGGACAAGGCTCGGTGCTCTGGGTGCAGGAGCCCAGAGCACTTTCCTTTTTTACCTCCGGGAGATATTTGCGGAATCCCTGACAGAGGAACATGCTGCGTGAACTCAGACACAAGTGGTTGTAACCTGACTCCCAGCCAGGGCTCCAGGCTGTCACCCTCCCAGAGCCTCCTGGCCTGACAGCAGCAGGCAGTTCACAACTTCTCGGAAAAGAGAGGGGAGTGAGCCCCCAGAAGCTTCCAGGAAATGGGGAATGGGGGCAATTCAAGGTGATGGTGGCATTACAAAAAAAGAGAAGGAAATGAGGGGACAGGGGGGTGTGAGTGGGTATTTAACCTACTGGTGGCTGATTTACACAATAAAGCCCAAAGGCGGGTGGCCAGAGGCAAGAAATAAGGTTTCTGGCCAAGAGGAGCAGGTGCCCACAAGACGGTGACCCCCCAAGCCAAATAGCCCCTTTCTGCCAGGTGCGAATCTTAAAGACCTACTAACCAGAGGGGTCCCTAATTTCCTTTGATGACCCAGAAGCTTGCTTCTAATCAGTTCCTTTCCAGTTTTCCTCCCTGGACTTTTGGGTCCCTGATGCGCTTTAAATAAATAGCCTTTATTACCGTGAGCCTCCCCCCGCCCCATATACAACAGAGCCACCCCAAAGAAAGAATCTTCTAGTTCAGTGGAAACCTCATAAACTCTGTTTCCCAGTTGCACAAGCTCACAGAAAGGCAGGGTCAAAGGCCCCTCCCCACCAGGGATGAGGGAATGAGAGGATGGGCGGGGAGGGGGGGCGTCAGCCTGGAGCCCAGAGATTTCAGCCGGTCACTGGGCCTTCACTCAGGCACCTGCCGAGTGGGGCCAGGCACTCATCACCAGGTCCTGCTCGTGAAGCAATTTAAGATCCTTGAGTGACAGCTGCAACATTAGCAGGAAGTGTTATTTATACCACATCACACGGGACATTGAAGGTGACTGGGCGACACACAGATACCAAACACGGGTTCTGGGCTGCAGTCATATTAGGTTGGGGGGTGTGGGGTGGAGGGAGGGAATCAATATTAACATCCAAAGTACAGAAAACTAAAAAGTTTATACTTAATTCAAGTACTCACTCCCCCCCCCAACCTGCCTGCTCTTTATGCTTCTCATTCTTCCTTCACTCTTCATAATAATTCCAATCAACATCACCTGAGTCTCCACCAGGTAGTATGTTGGGTGTGAGGGACACAAAGATAAAGATAGTCCCAACCCTTAAAAAGCTGGGTACCATCAAATATATGGTGATGGAAGGAGAACTGACTCTGGGTGGTGAGCACATGATGTGATATGTAGATGATGTATGTCAGAATTGTACACTTGAAACCTATGTAACTTTACTAACCATTGTCACCACAATAAACTTTCATTAAAAAAATAAACAGAGCTGGGTTCCTACATACATATAGGTATGTGTATTACACGACAATCCTCCAAGCCTGTATCAGTCATGCTTCTTACATTTCCTGCTGCCATCCAGCGCGTACACACAAATGAAGTAAAAGTGTCACAAAGTAATGGTACCGTCACTGTGTGTGAAGCACTCTGATGTTATCGATTCTATTTCTCTTTCTCAGAGTGACCCACTGAATTGATTTCGTGACACATTAATAAGTTTCATCCTAACTGAACAACATTGACTTGGGCCAGCCTGGTGGCTCAGTTGGTTAGAGTGCAAGCTCTGAGAAACAGAGTTGCCGGTTCGATTCCCACATGGGCCAGTGAGCTGTGCCCTCCACAACTAAGACTGAAGGACAACACCTTGACTTGGAGCTGATGGGTCCTGGAAAAAACACATTGTTCCCCGAAAAAACACATTGTTCCCCAATAAAGTTTTTTTTAAAAAAGAAAGAAAGAAAGAAAGAAAGAAAGAAAGAAAGAAAGAAAGAAAGAAAGAAAGAAAGAAAGAAAAATACTGACTCTACAGGGAACCCAGAAGACTGCATGATTCATTCTTACTGGGATGATGAGAGAAAACTTCGCTAGGCATTGTACTTGCACTTACTTGGCTTTGAAAGATAGAAAAAGCTTAAAAGAATAAAGTGGCCCTAGGAGGGCATAATTAGAGCTGAGCATTCTCTTGAATGGATTTGAATTATAAGCAGTCAACACATTTCTTACCACAGATCGTTGGCAAGTTAAGACAAAACAGTCTCATAAAAAATGTAGATAGTTAAAATTCATTCAGCTATTTTCTTGAAATCTGTGCTCTTAGAATAAATGAATGTCATTTAGGCTTAGTTAGCGTGAGGAAGAAAAGACTAAATTAAAACTCAGGAAGATGCTTTTCTGGTCGTAGCTCTGTTACTAAATAGCTGTATGACCTTGGTAGTGCACTTCTCCCAGGCGTAACCGCCCTCATTTAAAAAACGAAGTGCCTAGAAACCGGGTGATTTTGAAAGCCCTTTCCTGGTCTCAGCTCCTAGAGGAATAACCTGGCTAATATCACCTCCATTTTGCACAAGGGGGACTGGGGTCCCAGCTTCAAGATTAGCATTTGCTAATGTTTTCGATGTCTACCTGGATTCTTTCATCAAGTGAGATAATTTAATAAAAGTTTTATGAAAAGTAAAATTGCATAAGAATGCAGGGTATTCTTATCCAACCTAGAATTTCTTCCTGCACATTAATGCCTATTTCCTCTTATGCTCTGTGAGCCCTGGTTTTTCTAACTCTCTGTATTTTTTTCTGCTCCTTAAAGTGAGTATTTCTTCCTTTTAAAAGATTTTTATTGGGGAATTGGGGGGATGGGAACAGTGCTGGGGAATTGGGGGAAGGGGAACAGACAAGTTGCTGTCCTTTTGTTCTTCAGTCTAGTTGTGGAAGACGTCGCTTCACTGGCCCAAGTTGGCACCATCATTGCGCTCTTCCTGGCCGAGGCAGATCACTCACCGTCTTCTGGACGGCCGCTCACTGCAGCTGCTGGCCGCTCACGCTGGCTGCTGACTACACACGGTAGCCCATGGCAACCCACTGCAGCAGGGGCTGCAGCCTACGCTGTCACAGGCGACTCATGGCAGCCCAGCTCCAGGTTGAGCTGTTGTTCAGCATCTTAGCTGGTAGAGGGCAGTGTCACTGGCCCTCATATGTGGGATCCGAACCGGGTCCCTCTGGTGTCCCAGGCCAGTTCTTAACCATCGTGCCACTGGGCTAGCCCTTAAAGTGAGTATTTCAATGATGGTTAATCCTTAGCCTTTTTTTGTCTCTTCATTCTCCCTCCTTTTGAGATTTTTATCCACATTTAGGGCTATCACTTTTGCCTCGTGAACAACCCCCAAATCTCCAACTTAGTGCTCTTAACCAGGACCTCGCCCTACTTATCCACCTCTTTACTAGATAATTCCACTTCGGTGTCCCATTGTCACAACAAACTCCATAGCTGAAACTTTTGCAACAGTCTGTCACGCCCGCCAGGGTTCACTCCAGCCACCTGTTTTCCATATCATAGCTAAAATAATGTTTTCAAAATTCACATCTTACCCTGTCATCTCTCTTCCCCAAAACCCTTCATGGGCATCTCCTCACTCTCAGGGAAAAAGGAAAACCCTATCACATCCCCTCAAGACACCCCGCCTCTTTTTTCAAGTCCTAGTTTGAATCCCACCCAGATAAAGCGTTCCCTCCTACGCCAGCCCGAAAGACTTTTTCCTCTTTTGAACTCCTAAGGCAAATATTAGCATTTTGTAAGTGTTCAGATGCTGCCTCATGATATTGCTTTTCTGTTGTCTTGAAGGTTCTTTTTACACCTTTTAGAGCTATTTAACTTGTCGTGTGTTTATGTCTCTCCAACTCGTCTGTAAGCTGCCCAAGGAAAGGGTCAAGGACTTATATGTCTTCCTATACTCCTTCCGGTCCCATAACAACCAAGATAACCTCTCCACTAACATTCATGCCACCATGCGGTCACAGTTTATTAATCACCTCTGCCAGACTAGAGTGTTTTGAGGGCTGGCAAGGCGTATTTTGTGCCTTTGTATTCGCATTGCACAGTATTCAGGAAGCACTCCCTAAATATTTGTTAAATGAATGAGTAGATAAGGATTCCACATATATTTCATTTCTTTGTTGATTTGATTTGTTAAATATGGGCTAACTTGCTTCTATTGCTCTTACAACTTTTCCATGCTATAGAAAGATGTCTTCCAATACTTTCAAAGAAACTACATTTGCTAGAATAATTACTGTAGAAAAATGATCATTTGTTCATTTAACTTCGTTTGCCCATCTTGACCGTTTTGCTAAACTCCAGTCTACATCTAACTTCCTGGTAAAAGCCTCCACTTGAATACAGACATTTCTTACTTGTGACATCTAAAACGGATCTCCTTATCATTCCCACTGCATACGTTCCTTCCTCACCGGACACCACTTTGATTTGTAACAACTCAATATTTGCAGCTGTTTGCACTAAAACCTTTGAGTTATTCTTGTCTTTTTTTTTCTCATACATAGCATCTCATCTGGCTGTAAATCTTATTACTTCTACTTTCGATATATATATGTACGTTGATGTACATATATAGATCCAACCCATCTACCACCACTGCCACTGGCACCTCCACCACTCTGGACCAAGATAGGATGACCTCTCCCTTAAACTACTTGAATAGCCCCCTTAACCGGTCTCCCTGCTCCCACCCTTGCTCCCCTATAGTCCATTCTTAGCATAGCAGCCCCAGTGACCCTTTCAAAATGTGTCCGATTGCTCCTCTGCTGGAACCACCCCGTTGGCTTCGCATCTAATTGAGACTGAAGGGCTGGGTCATCTCATTAGCACCTAAGTCCTGAAGCC